TTGACATTCACGGAGGTGATGGCGAGAAGACTCTAGGAGAAGCGGAGAAGACATTCATTCTATGGCGCAAGCGCTACATCATCATTCCGGGGATGTCGGCTCCACCTCCTCCGAACTACCTCACCATAGGTATGTGCGGATGAAAACACTACATCATTAATTTGTATTGGCTTAAATAATTAACAATCTGCTCATAATAATATGTCATTCCTTTTTTTGTAGCAGATCCTCCCCAATCTAAATCCAATTGTTCAATCCTTGAGATCATCATAGTGCTCAGACGATGACATTGTGTTGGAAGACGAGGTGCATCCACACCCTCTCCAAGGAGGTCTCAACGCCGCAGCAGCCGCCACCTCCAAGGAGGTCTCCAACGCCGCTGCCAACACTCCAAGGAGGTCTCCAACGCCACGCCAACACCTCCAAGGAGGTCTCCAACGCCCCCGCCCCGCCTACCAAGAAGCCTAGCAAGAGGTCAGCCCCTCAAGCGAAGAACCAGGTCCCACTTTTGCAAAGAAAGCCACCGTGAAACCAAGGGTTATTCCCAAAATAATATCTCAAGAGAAGGAAGAAGGAACTGATGCATATAAAAAGACATGTCTAGATTCTATGACAAACTTAAAATGAATCAAGAAGCAAGGAGAAACCGGAGAAACCGTGCTTCTTCAGAGCTCGGATATTTTAAGAAAAAGGTGATTTCTTACCAAAGCATCAACAGCGGGAATCTCGTAAGCCGTCCAAATCAACGTTATCAGACTATGACCGCACTCTCACCAAGTCAATTGAGGTGGCGCAAAAAAAGAAGCGGGGAAAGGAGTTGCCCAACTCGGACAACAAGCGCAATTCAATCAATCCCCGCTAGTTGTTGGTAATGAATATGGTCGAATTTAGGATTAATGCATCGAGCAAACATACCTCCGGGATGTCGATTTGGATCACCTTGGTGAATTTCTTGATGAGACTGGTCTCGACCTTTACCAGATGTTTGGTGATGGAAACATTGAGAGTCTTGGCGGAGGTTGATATTTGGAAGAAAAAATTTGTACTAGGCCGAGTCTATACAACCCTCAAGCCTTATCTCGATGCGGGGACGCAAATGTACCTGCTAAACAAGTGGTACATGCAGGCGTCTACCAGTGGAGACTTCTGCGTTGGTGTCAGAATTAGAGACGAACATTGGTTCCGTGGCGATGATGTTATGTATGTTGACTTTGCAGAATTTCATCAACTATGCCACCTGACCTCTCTGGACAAAGTTATCATTAGCTGCTATTGCCTGTAAGTAATAATTCTTTCGATCTATTATTAAACTCATCATATGTGTGTATATGCATATAAATTATCCTAACAAGTACTATATATATGCAGATTTACAATGACAGAGCTCAGAAAGGAAGGCTGCAATGAAATTGGTTTTGTTGATCCCCATATAGTATTCAAAGACCCAATTACTCCAATGACTAATTGGAAGTCTGAGTCAGAGAGTAACCTCATGAACTTCTTAGTGAACCAACGCCACAAGAAGGATATACTCTTTCCCTATAACTTCAAGTGAGTGTTAATCATGTCGATCATAGCCTTAATGGCTCATATGTTGATTCTAGTTAATTAATGAGTGTTATGCGTTATATCCTATAAACACATGCAGCAATCCTTTGGATATTGATGGACATCGATCGGTGAAAAGTCACTTGATAATCTATGACTCGATGAGAAAACCACAACAAGACTACCAAGATATGATAGATATTATCCAGAGGTAATTTCGAGATCTCTAGCAACTATATATACACACAAACATGATGATTAACTATATCTCGATGACGTGGCAAATTTTTATTGGGCAAAGTGTTTGGAAAACCTTTATTGAGAAGCAACACATGGAAAATGCAAAGCGCCAATGAATGTAATCCCTTTGAAAGTAAGTCCCGAATCGCATCATCTTTATTAATTCAACATATAGCTTTCACCGGATCACCAGATTGGATGACAAATCTTTTCTCGTAAAGTGGTGTCTAAGGCGAGAACAGGGAACAACCACTGTGGTTACTATGTTTGCAAGTTTATCAAGGTGCTCTCCCAAAGAACTCCTAGAGAGAGACTCAAAAGCACGTTAAAATACACTATATATTCATTTAATTATTATTATTGATTGTGTTACTATGTCTTTATATATATATATATGTACATATATTAATTTATTTTCCTTTAATTCAAACACTGTAGACTCGATGGTTGGAGGAAAAGGTCATACGGCAAGACCAAATCAAAGCAATTCAAGAGTCTATAGCGGATTTTTTTTTTTTAATGAGCTTGAGGTCATCGATTCCAAAGAGGATGAGTTCTACTATGACAACCAACAATCTTTTGCCATTGAAGAAATAATATAAGCTAGAGGATGAGAAGAAACTTGTTATGATCACAACAATATATATAATGCAATCTATGATTTTTGTAATATATGCACATACTATAATATAAATGAAATAATATAATGTAAAATACAGGTACTAGTGGTTGCTAGACATGTACTACTATATTGGTATAATAATATACTAAACAAATTTAGGCTCCCATGATTTTTATTTCAAGTTGAAAGATTTGGAGTATCTTAAAATGAGTATACATAAACATACTCAAATTGATTAATGTGTATGCACGTAAGGTGGTTTTGTTGAAGATGGAAAGAAGCTACACCTGGGAGTAGAAAGGAGCTCCCACATATATATACTTCTCTATAGTCAGCCACATAATAACTTATTTTATGGCCACTTTGAGTTACTGTAACGACGGTAAAAATTTACGAGATTACTATAACTTTTCGTAATTGATGTACTATAACATTATATGGTAAATGTCACCAAGTTATAGTAACACATATATCCTAAATATGTATTTACTTTATTGTAAACTAATACAAACATTATCACTAATCGAGGTGGTCACAGAATAATTTATATAACTTTACATAGTTTGACATGACATGATGTTAGAATTGTATTTATTGAAATGTTATATTCATTAGTATTCATAAAAACAAAGAGAACATGTGGAAGACAAGTTGAACTTGTACTATACTATATTTATTGAAATGTAAAAATTTCAAGGCGATGTGTAGCGAACAACACACCTACACCATGAGTCACGGAACATGTGGAGCTCCATTGAGGAACGCTACTGGTCACGGTGTTAGATTTGGCAAACAAGCGTCCACCAAGCAAAGGAATGTGTTGTCTATCACACAGTCTAACCAGCACCACCCGACTCTTTCAGTCACCTTGATGACTTGTCCACTATATGGAGTTTCTTCACTTTTTGTGTGTGTGCATGTGAGGGGGGGGGAGGGGTGCGGGCTCTCCTCATCCCTCTCACACCAATACCATGCTGATCCACAACAGGAACACAGGCTCACCGCCTCGATGGCAACCACACCTTTACTGGATGGTGACAAAGACCTCACACTCTAGATCATCCAGATTAAAAGGCAACACGATCCAATCACTTAAAGCTCTTAAGCTGTAAGGACTAAACCTCACAAGGGTGCATTATTATAGTGTTTATCCTAGTTTTGGATGTGATATTGAATGACTTGAGGGGCTGGATGGAGTGTAGAAACACTTGGTTTAACTTGTAACAGAATTGGGGCACTCCTACACACTCAAAAGAAAGTAAAGAACCTCATATATATAGCCCCATCCCCCTCAAAAGGCCGTTGGAAAAAGTCTACCAGAAAATTGTGCATCGCTGAATAATCCACTGGGTTGTCCTTGATACCGCATCTTATCATCCATCGGGATATATTCCCAAGTCGACCATTGCATATTCACTCACTGACACTGGGACCTTATTGCCAGATGACCTGCCTCCTTGTCCCTTGTTGTCCATCATAACCACTGGTGTTAACCGTTGCTAGACAGCTCTGATCTTCACCAGATGATCCTGCCGGGTTGCTCCTATGCTACACCATATCATCAGGTGGCCTTGATTTTCTACATCTTAAAATTGTACTAGTCAGATGACCCATGGGGTGATTCTTCTTTTCACCATATCATCTGGTCGGCGCTATCTTCATAGCCAACTTACTAGACTCCATCTATAATCCAGTAATTGCTTTGGTGAGGAATCTTCGTTGTTCTCTGTTTCAACTTGAATCTAGATCAAACATTACCCTTGCATTCCTAGGACTTGTTATAACTTGTCTGAACACATCTTTAACACACATGTTAGTTCTAGGCTTCTGTTGTCATCATAATCACTAAAACTAAAAGATATCATCATTGCCACATGATTCTTACACTGGTATGCTAACCTTCTTCTCTACGCCATCTTTCCCTAGGAGCACTTTCATACCAAGATCTATGCAAACTTCCAGGGTGTTAATATGGCATCTCTTAATCTAGTTCGTGGCAATAATGGGGAGTAATGACGACTTCATGCCAGGCCTTTTAACCAGGCAGTGATACCACTGGATATCATAGTAGTAACATATATGAACTGATTCTGATAGGACATTTCTGTAGTAATGAAGCAGGCTCTGAAAGTGGTCTATTGTTAGTAATGATACTGTGGAAATAATCAAGGATCATACCGACTTTTCTTTGAGTAGAAGTTCGTCATCTAAGTGAAGATAGCGCATTGATTTGTTAAAAATCCTTGAACATACAAATTGCAATTTAAATGCATAATGCTCAGAAAATAGGCTGGGGTCATCTCAAGATGGAGGCACACCGCACACTGCACAAAGTTTGGTTCATGGTCATGGCCTCCCAGCAGGGAGAGCTCCAGGCATTAATTGGATCTCAGGACCTCAAAATTGAGCGACATGGGGAACCATGCATTTTTACCTGCCGCCAAACCGAACAGGCCATAGAGCACATGCATGTCTCGGGCACTGAGGCTGGGCGCCTATATATACACCAACACTAGCCAGACAGACCACAAAGCTATAACTGCTTACCGAGCTTCTTCAAAAACCAGCCTGAAAGAACGTACTTGTAGCCATGACACAGGTGCTCCGGTTTTTTCTTTCTCCAGCACTAGTTATAGTTTCCCATCTGGTGCTGCTGCTGTCCACAGCCTCTGTCTCCAGCATGGCTGCTTCATCACCCCTGCCGGCTCCACACTGCCCTAGCAAGTGCGGCAGCATAGAGATTCCCTACCCATTTGGCATCGGCGCCGATTGCGCTTGGCCAGGTGAGGGTAACTTCACCATTGCTTGCAACCATAGTTTTAGCCCTCCAAGGCCATACACTAACGAAAACGTGGAGATTACGAGCATCTCGGTAGAGACCGGGGAGATGCATGTCTACGCAATTGTTGCGTACGTCTGTTACAACTCGTCCGACACCATCGAACAAGACCAAGGGCAAATCGGATATTCACTCGACCCGCCGTTGCTAGTCTCGCCTACCGAAAACGTCTTCACGGCCATTGGGTGTGACACACTGGCGTTCCTGGAAGGTGGGTCCAACTACTGGACCGGCTGCATCAGCTACTGCGCGAGCTTGAAAGACTCGGCTCTAGACGGAGACCCTTGCACAGGATTGGGCTGCTGCCAGTCGTCAATCCCAGGCAACCTTAGCACGATAGAGATTGGTTGGAACACCGACAAAAATACCCAAGCCAATAATTCTGCGTGGAACTACAGCCCATGTAGCTATGCCTTTGTGGCCTACAAAGACTGGTACGTTTATTGATATATAGATCGAATTCTAAAGATATCTGTACTGTCCCAAGTACTCATCATCCGTTGCATCAGATGAAGGCTTTAGATTTTTTTTTATTTGATTCAGGTACAACTTCAGCCGGCGAGACCTCAATGGCAAGGAAAAAGACAGCTTCAGCAATCGAGTTGGAGACAGAAGTGCCACGTTGGTTCTTGATTGGGCCATCAGGGGTAATGGGTCCTGCGAGATGGTGCCCGGTAAACTGACAGCTCCAGCATGTGCCAGTGCAAACAGCTACTGCCAAGACCTCAACGCCACACGAGGGGGTGGATACCAATGCAAGTGCTCGGACGGATACATGGGCAATCCATACATCGTCAATGGTTGCACAAGTCAGTTGATTTATTATTCCACAAAATATTTTTCGTAATGGATGTTCTATTGATTACAATTAACTTATGCATATTTAAGATCCATATATCCCTCATGATCGACTTAACATAAACTGACTCAGTAAGACTATAATTCCTATCAATATGCTTGGGGTAAAAATTCTTTGGCCTTCCTTTTAAAATGTTCCACACCGCTACATCCAAATCCTGTGAACAAAGCGTCTCAGGGATAACCCAGTTGTGCAGAAACTGGATGGCTAAACAAATGTCCACCAAAAATAAAATAGTTTTTCTCCAAAATACCATGTCATTCCTGTATGCTATAGCTACAACGACCAATTATTTGCTGTGGCCGCCTCCAATAGGACCAAAATGTCTGGCCAAACAAGTATAGCAAGTGCCTCCAATAGGACCAAGACGGTCTAGTATGTTATCTCACTATTACTAATTAGAGGCCCCAACAGCGGCACCACGTTAATTCCCACCAGACGCGCTACAAAAAAAGATAAATCCTAAAAATTCTCACAATAATCAGAAACATCTAGCCTTTAATTTGGTAGACTCGAATCATCATCATTAATAATAGCCATTGGATTTATTACAATTCATAAAAAAATTATCCACTTCTGCCATTATGAAAAATACATAAAATAACCCCCTAAATTTGCATCTAAATTACCCACATCTGCCATTACTCAAGATAATTCAAAATAACCACCTAAGTTTTTACATAAATTACCCACGTCTATCATTATGAAAGGTAATTCAAAATAACCCCCTAAATTTGCATCTAAATTACACACCTTTGTCATAATGAAACATAATTCGAAATAACCACATAACATTGCATCTAAACTACCCATTTTTACCATTATGAAAGAGAATTTTAAAATAACTCGATAACTTTATATCCAAATTACTCACATCTATCATTATAAAAAATAATGTAGAATGCCCCCTAATGATTTTATAAATTATCCATCATTGTCATTATAAAAGATAATGCAAAGTAACCTCCTAAGTTTGCATTCTAGCTACCAAAAAATATGCCATTACGAAAGATAATATAAATAGTGGCGGGGCTTGACCCTAGGATTAGGGGGCCAGTTTATATAATTGAGCATCAAACACTAATGGATAGTCTAGGAAACACTGTTTGGACAATGCAGATTAAATGGGCAGCGGTGGCCATGGCCGATCATGGTCTTGACCAAGCTCCGCCCCTAAATATGAAGTATTGTTTTTATGTTTGTATCTGCCTAAGCCGTTATAAAAAATAAAAATATCTCTCAAATCTAAATGTAAATACTAATATATGTTATTACATTAGATAACCACAACTCTATGTTTCACCATGGAGCATATATATGTTTCTACATTATCCACTTCCTTTAATATTAACTAATATATTAGGATTTGATTAAAGTAAGCATACATGTCTTGCTAGCATGCATGAGCGATAAATATATATGTTACTTTCATAACATAAAAATATTTTCTTAAAAACTCATACACTAATGATACTAACAAATTGTTTAAAACCATATTAGTAACTATGACAAAAAATTTATATAGGTTGTCACTTTAGATATATTTATACATTTTAACCAAAACGTTTGACACATCTATATTGATAGTATAGCTATAACTGCACATGTAATTCCTTGATAGAAAAATTCAGTTATCTTGAGAAGTGTGGGTGACCACTGATGACTATATTTTTCCGGCCTTTACGATTATTTTGAAGTAAAAAGTCGATCATTATAATGCTTAGGTATTAAAATTCTATTGAGGTTAGCAATGCTACCCAATCCGAGATCTCACTTAAAGCTTTACCACTTAAGTTAAGTGACAGGTGTAGGTTTTGAATGATTGTTTATAGTATTATAGTATTTAAGAACGTACTCTACGACCTAAAAGTGCAAAAAAGAGAGTTAAAAAAAGATAAAATAAGCATAAGAGTTTTAACTTAACTTGAGGATAAAAAAATCTATAGTAGTCAATAAGAATAAATTTGAAAATTAAAATTTAGATTGATGACTTTGTAAGTTATATGATGGAATAAGAGACACCATAGTATTGTAAGGTTTAAACTAATTGCATATTTAAACTATACAAAGGCGCCATGCAAAGAAAAAATATGAATATGAATGAAAAAAATGTATACATCAACTCCTTGCAAAAAATATTAATAAGTATATAATAATTGGATGTATACTACGAGTTTCTATTATATCTATTATATTAAAAAAATAAACAAACAAAAAACATATAATTGAATATAAGTAATTCTTTATTTGTTATATGTGTTAAACAATAAATAATACTTATAACTCCTAAAATTCTAGCCCTTGCGAGAGCACAGGTTGATGGACTAGTGATCACAAACTCTGTTTGCATACACTTGGTCGGGTCATGCCATATACACCCTGAATCTTGAAATACACACATTGGAGTTCCTACATCTTGGAGTAGAAAAGATTTTCTATATATGTACGTATATATGCGTGTGTATGTGTACGTGTACATATCTATCTATAGTAGCCATGATATATGTATGACAATGACATGTAGATCCCCGTGTTAGTGAAACTTATTACCATACAGCACAAATGAGATCAGTTTGTTCTACAGCGGTGGATTCCACTATACATCCTTTTTTTTTTGAAAGGAGATTCACTCTGCTTTTATGAAGGCAATTAAGAGTCTATTCCTCTATACATCTAGACAGTTCTGAAATATATTTCAATGGGTTCAGACATTTCTGTGTGCAAAAATTCAATGGGTTTAGACATTTTTGAAGTGTATTTCCTGGAAGTAATTTAACTATTTGAATGTCTATTGCTACGATGCAGATATTGATGAGTGTGAACTTCGAAAATCAAATCCTGCAAAGTACGAAAAACTGTATCCATGTGGTGATTATACCATATGCCATGACACGCCAGGCAATTACAAGTGCAAATGCAAATTCGGGCACAGAGGATATGGTAAAAGTGAGAAGGGGTGTCAGCCCATATTTCCTGGTTATGCAATAGCAATAGTAGGTGAGCTCACAAAAAATCTATTCATGACCCAAAAAAATTTCAGTTGTCTACACAACCAGACATATATATTTATTTCAGTCCAATTTGAATATAAAAATTAAATTAGAAAACCAAAATCACTTAACACACTACAAATACTTTCTCTCCATTAAAACTTTGCTATCTGATTTTTCATTAATGAAATATTTTCATAATTTAATTTTCTTAACATAGGATACTACATATCTCAGCATCCATCTTTACAATATTTGAATTGTATGGAGAGAGAGAGAGAGAGAGAGAGAGAGAGAGAGAGTATAGTTTGGAAATAAGTGACTTCATTGTAGTAGTTCAGGGACCGATAGTAATATTAGTTATGTGCCCATTCATACGTTTTCTCCTCTGCACTAAACCTCCGTGTTTGTTTGACATACATTTTGATAAAACTTTAATTTATTTGATCTATATATCTATTTGCCAGGAGAATTTACATCTGGCCACTTTCTCACTACCAAAAAAAATATATTTAGTGAGGGTAATAACCATCAAGAAAAATATGAATACTGGCACATAATAATCCTCATGAATCAAACACCATAGAAAAATTTAACCGTCACCAAAAATCTTTGTTTTCTGGTAAAAGTGGATATTTTTTTAAACGATTTGTATGTATAGTACTTTGGGGTGCTTTTTATTAATGAATGCGGAAGGTAGAAATTTGGGGTTCTTGGATGTTACTTTTAAAAATGATGAATGTGGTAGTCTATATGAAAATTTGAACGGATATCTCAAACTATTTTGAAGATTAAATAATGGTTAGTTTAGATACAAATTTAGTGTTCCTTCTTGGTAACTTTTAATAATGGAAGAGATGTTCTATTTACAAGCAAATTTTAATTAAGGCTATTTCGTAATTGCATAGGTCCATGATTTGGATGAATATGAGGGATTATTTCAAATTACTTTTCATAATGGTAGAAGTGGGTGATTTAAATATATATTTAGGGTGTTAATTTAGGTTATTTTCATAATGGCATATGCTGTTAATTTAGATAGTGGTTACGCCATAACTTTAGGCTACTTTCATAATGAAACATGTGTAATTTTCTAAGAACCAATTGCTATTATATGTATGATAGAATATATCCAACAGATAATATTCGAAATTATACACATTTGTCATGTTATTATAAACATTTTTCATGAATAAAGCATTCAAGCTTTGAGAAACCAAAGGAACTCTCTAATTTGTCTACAATATCTCATCTTGAGCAGTTTCACTGTAAGTCAATAAAAGCAATATTTGAGGAATAAAAAATTAAATTAAAGTAACGCATAATAAGAAAACTTTCTATCTTATGCTTTTTCAAAAAACAATAAATATCTTGGTTATGCATTGAAATAGTAGGGAGAATCAATTACACTTCTCAAATAAATGTATTTAAAAACAAACTGAACATCATTATTATATGCACCAAAACTGAGAGGTTATACACATTTTTCCTTGATCTAAGCGACCTGCCGAAGCTAAGCATGCAACCATATCACCCATAGATACTTTTGATTACAGTTCATGCCGCTCTAGAACTTTTGACAACTCAATTAACTTCATTCAAAAATCAGAAGATATGTGAGAAAGAGTAGTACTCTGAGAGAACCTGCAATAGATGAGCACGCCGAAGTGAAATCCATTGTTTTATTGTAAATGCAAGATGCCTGACATTTGTCCTGGTGTCTATCTTTCTGCAGTAACATTTGTTGCCATCGTCCTAGCATTTTTGGTGTTTGTGTTGCTTCAGCGACGCCAGCGTAGTAAGCGTTTCAACAAAAACGGTGGTGAAATACTGAAGATGATGGGCATTAAGAGCTTCAGTGAAAAAGACATAAAGAAGATTACAAACAACTACAAAAGCTACATTGGAAACGGACACTTCGGCAAAGTCTACATGGGGACCATCGATGGTTCCCAACAAGTCGCAGTTAAATGCTCTGTCAAGAAAGATGAGAATATGCCCAAGGAAGAGTTCGTTAATGAGATCACTATCCAGTTCCGAATCAGGCACGCGAACCTTGTCCGCCTCATTGGGTGCTGCCTTGAAACAGAAGTCCCAAAGCTGGTCTTCGAGTACATCCCCAATGGAAGCCTCGAGGACATGCTCCATGCTACTGAAAATGAAAAGCCACGTGCTCTCTCACTGCTGGAGCGCCTGGACATTGCCATTGGTTCCGCACAAGCTCTCGCCTACATGCACTCGCATGGTGAGGATAGCCATATCCATGGGGACGTCAAACCGGGCAACATTCTACTCGACAACAACCTCGTGCCCAAGGTCGCTGATTTTGGGTCATCAAAGCTATTGTTGAAGTCCAGTAACGCGTACGTGAAGGACGTTAAGGCGGATTGGAGCTACATCGACCCAGTCTATGTGAAGACCAAGCGGTTCTTAGCCAAGAGTGACGTCTACAGCTTTGGCATGGTGCTCCTAGAACTCATCACTAGGAAGAGAGCAAAGTACAATGAGAACCAAAGCCTCCCCATAGACTTTGTCAAGCGCTGCAAAGAGGACGGCAATGCAAGAAGGATGTATGACAAAGAAATCTTTCCGGGTGGTGCTCATTCTCCTGTTTACATGGATTGTATTGACAGGATTGGCGTGCTTGCGGTCAGATGTCTCAAAGAAGACACCGACGAGAGACCCACCATGGCAGAAGTTGTAGAGGAGCTTAAACATGTGAAGTTAATAGCCTCCGGAAGACCATGATGCTACAGGGGCAAGTTAAAGGCTCAAAGATTTTGTCTCTCCAGCGCATATCCATGGATGTCACTGTGCCCTGTCAATTCTATGAATTATGCATGCACACATGTAGTTTGTTATTTTATTTTCTTGGAACGGTATGCGACTTTTTATGTTGCTTGTAATTTTGTGTCTGTGTAGTGCCACTTAGTAAACGTGCTCTTGTGATCCTCAAATGTTGTAGCACAGTCAGCATGATGCAACACCACCGATAGATAGCCAACAAACAACGGTTTCCATTATAACGTCTCTGATTAACATTCGTGATGGCTAATTTTAATTTTGTGTAGGACCTATCATAAAACAACGCATAGCCAGGAAGCTACTTGAAACAAGCCGCTCACTGCTCAACATTGTTCTGGTGGAAAGAAATGAAAGTCTGACTGTTGGTTAATTTTAGTTAGATTAGTAAACTGATACATTAGTGAATGCCCAAGCATGCATGCATGCGAGAAACAGAGATTCAGCTTCTTATTCAAGGTACCATGGCATATAGGTGATGGAGATCATTATCATAAATACTAGGTGAATACCTCGCACGTTGCTGCGAAAGAATTTATAAGAAACATCATGAGTTTTATGAGATCATAGATGAACACTATTTGTTAGAAGAGGTTATAATATAGCGGATTAGCTTACAATAGAATACTGGAACTCAGTAACAAATAAGACTTCTGATGAAGATTATGGAAGGGCCAAAACAAAATGAAACAGCCATGAGTTGAGATGGCGAATAAGAAACATTGCAAAGTAATGATAAAATAAAGGATGCTATGAGGTATGCATTGACATTGTAACACCCTAAAATTTACACTTTATTAAATAGAGTTAAATTGATTTATTTATGCTTTATTGTGCACATTCAAAACATAGGAAAATAATATTTTTTATTAAATTAAAATCAAACTATAAGGCTAGATACATGTTTATGCATACATGCTGGTGCATTGGAGTTTTTGCATTGAGTGGTTTTGACCAAAACTCAAAAGGTTTTAAAATTCGATTTGAAAATGGCTTTGAAAAATTCAGGAAAGAAAAAGAAAAGGGATTTCTTTTACTCTCCTCCGTTTCCTCCCTTTTCGGCCTGCTTGCCCGCACCCTCAGCTCGGCCTGCTCCACTCCCCGTGCCCTCCCCGTCACTCCCTGGGCCGAAGCCCAGCTTCGCAGCAATAGCACCTAGCCCCCCCCTCCTCCGCTTCTCTCTTCTATTGGGCTAGGCCCACTCCTCCCGTGCCGCAGCGGCCTAGCCGCAACAGCAGCCTACCATGCCGTCCCTTGCGCTCGCTGACGAGCGGGGTCAGCGCGTCAGCGTCACCGCTAGGTGGGCCCGACCTGTTGGATCTGTCTCCTAGCTCCGGTCGCCTCTCCCTTCCAACAACGGCGGGGACCAGGCCCTGCCCGCGCGACCAAGCACGTCCGCGGGCCACGTTCTCCCCGGCGTCCTGCGTGCTCTGAAGCCACACACAACTGAGCCTCGGTCCACATCTGGACCCGCTCCTCGCACCCCCTCCGCTTGGAACGCACCCCGCCGCCATGGATGGCGGATGGCCAAGCTCCCTCAACCGCTCGATCCTTCCCTCCTCACCCTATAAGAAGACCCCTCAGCACCACAGCTCCACACTGCCGCCACTCCGCCTTTCCCCGTACCCTCTCACGCGCTCCATTGCTGTAGACACCTCGCCGGAGCTTCCTATCACCACCCTTCACCACTGACCGGCTCCCTCCCTCCCCAAGCCGCGGAAAACCATCGAGGTGAGATCGTCGTTTCGTCCTCTATCTCCCCGTGCCCTTCCCATGCCAAACTGAGGCTCCTAGGCACTTCACTGAGTTGAGCCGGCAAACTCTCACCGCCGTCCATGGCTCCAACCGCACCGGAGTTCCTGTTTCGGTGGCGGAGTCCCCTCCCTCTCTCTTTCTCCTAATCTAGGACGTCCATCTTAGATCCGGTGGCCCACATCAATCCATACCGGTTCGCTAGACATTTTTGCTAAAGAGCCCCTGACTTTATTCTATATAGAACCCATAGTCCCAAAGTGTATTCCGCAGAGACGTTTTCTTGTTGGAAATGCATAGTTGAGTTCTAGTTATTTACAAAACTGCCATCCAATCTTGTTTTAGCCATAAAATCTCCAATTTAACTCCATTTAGACCCGTTCAAATTGCGTTAGATTTATAACGAAGTAATCTAAGCGTTAGTAACAATGTTTACCATGTCACTAGCTATGGAATTTCATGGTTTAAATCCTAACTTGAATAATGTTTATGCAACTGGTTTATAAATAAACTTTCGGTAGTAGTATCATCACTATTTTAGCTCCGATTTCAGTGATTCTCGCGTCTATGTGTTTGTAGTGACGTGTAGTATAGTTCTATAAGCTTTTCAAATTGTTTTACCACTATTGGTGTACTGTTCTAATTATAGTTCTTGTTTGCTATGCATGATTGGCTCCGTATGATTGTATGTTGCTGTATTGATCGAGTATAGACAGTGAGCAGTACGTTGGTGAGTAGGATCAATACTTTGACGACCAGGACCAGCTGGAGTTTTCTGAGCAAGGCAAGTATAGCATGGGATCATCCTTGTTGTCATATTTACCTTAATAACATTCATCATATGCATGTGTCTACCATGATATCCGCAGATACTTTTCCTAGTTATTTGTTACCCTGATTCCTTGTCACCTAGGAAAGTTTGCTTATGGATAGCTGATGCTAGTGCTCAATTGATTATGATCATGAACTGTATCTTGATTAATGGAATATGCAACGAAAGATAAAAGATGCTTTTTAGCAACGTGAATTAAAGGGTGAGAGCATTTGGCTTTATGCATGATGCTCTTGTCCTCCCTAAGGACTTATCTGTAAGTGATCACCCAGGACTTATAGTACAACCATGAGTGCCATATGGCTCTGGCTTTAGTTCAGTATAAGGACCTTTTCTAGCTTGTTAGTGGTTACCGAAAGGCGCAAAAGAGCTGGGTATAGTGCGGCCTCTGTTCCTAAGAGTACTTCTGCGTGAGTGTGCCTTTCGAAAGGGGGGCTCCATATTCCTTTGCCACGGAAACCTAGCGGCTACTAACTTGTTAGACGAACCTTTGAAAGACTTCTTAGTGAACCCTACCGACCTCCCTTCGAAGTGGGTCAAGAGGCTAGCTACCTCAGGCGAAAGGGTTAATCACGGCTCATGGTGAAAGTGTACAACCTCTGCAGAGTGTACAAATGGTATATCAGGCGTGCTCACGGACACGAGCAGCCTGGACTCCTTATGGAATAATGACAAATGATCGCCGATGTTTTTTTAAATGCTATTTCATTATTCATGTTATCAATTTCATGTGATTAAATTGGGGCATTGCTAAACTTGATGCTACTGTAATGCTAAAATTATGACACTATAAAGCTATCGCAGTAAACCAGTGTCAATCTTTTGAGCCTCATGAACCCCATGCTATATTGGTTAAGTACGAGATGTACTTATGCTTGTTTATTTTTCATTACTTGGACAAAAATCCTGGATGGGTAACAGATTTTGGCAGATGTACTGAGTTTCTAGAGGATTTCTAGACTTGTGGTTCACCAGTCAACCGTCCCTGTGGTTTTGGAGGCTTCACCTGAATATTTAGAATTTGAGTTTCTGCTACTTTGATAAACATTGATTTCCATGTATGGAAGATTATTTGATATGTAATAAACACTGTGCTTGATACTATGTAATTTGTCATCATATGTGTGTGATTGATTCCTGGGCACACATATGATTCTACATTCGATTTTGTCCTTAAAATCGGGTGTGACAAATTGGTATCAAAGATGTGTTGACTGCAGGACGCAAGCCTAGTAGAAACTGGTCGTTCTAAGGTTTAGAAGTTGCCACAAAAACCCTTGTTCCATAAACCTTGATATTTTCTTCTAGACCTTATCTTTACCCCTGCTATTCATCTCCACCTTATTGCTTGTTTTAAATCTTGTTGTCACCTTCACCCCTTGCCTTGATATGCTTTTAGAATCTTCTCATACCACCTTCTTGCGCCAACGGAAGAGGACCTTTAGGATCTTTACCCTTAAAATGAAGAGAACGATAGTAATCGCAAGTTGAGTCAATAATTGATTAGTGCACCTTTATTTCTTTGTTGAATTGTTATTATTAATTTGCTTGATTTGGATCTTTGAATGATTACAATGATTTTGTAGACTTTGCCAATAATTTCATTAGATATAGGCTTATGACATAAGGATTAATGAATAGATAGTTGGGTTGGTTTTTCTCGTCTGTACGTTATGCTGTTTTTTTTTCGGAGCAGTCTTTGTTCTTTGTTATATATCTCCAAATCTGGACGTCCAAAAGTCATGAAAATTTTACTTATTAAATTAGACTTCTTCATCTTTCATATGCCTCTGGAATCACCCTTATACCTGTTTTGGTTTGAGAAACATAACTATTGAAAGTTGAAGTTTCTGCGCTAACAGATTCTCTGGACAGAATTTATGTTTTGCTATAATACCTTAATTTAGTTACCGAATCTGGAAAAGTCATCTGTAAGGAAGTTGTAGATAATTTCATAAGATTTCCATCCATATAAAGAATGCCTCTGTTTGTGTCACACCCAATTTTAAGGATAAAATTGAATGCACTAAACTTATGTGTGCCCCGGGATCAATCACACACATAAGTTGACAAATTATAAAAAGTATCATCACGGTGTATCTTACATAACGAATAATAGCATCACATTGTCTTACATAACACAGCGGAAGATAAAAAGATAACTCTCTCGTGGAACTCCATCACAGGGACGGTCGACTGGTTGACCACAAGCCTAATAATCCTTAGGAAACTCCTCATACACGTTCTCATCTGTTACCCATCCGGGATTTTTATCCAAATAAATAAAAAAATAAACAAGCGTAAGTACTTCCCGTACTTAACAAGATAACATGGGGATTCATGAGGCTCAAAAAGGTTGACA